GAGACTCCAACTTATTAAAAAAAAAAAAAAAAGAATGTTAGGTGTAGGTTTTTTGTGGATATTCTTTATCAAGTTGAGAAAACTCACTCTAGTCTTAGTCTGCTGAGTTACCATGAATGAGTGGTAGATTTTACCTAGGTTATCAAATTTGTAGGCATCAGGTTGTTCATAGTACTCCTGGACTATCATTTTAATGTCTGTGGGCCTATAGTGATACCTCCTCTTTCATTTTTGATACAGTAATTTATGTTATTTCTCTTACTAGCTTGGCTAGAAGCTTAATGATTTTACTGCTCTTCTCAGAAACAGCTCTTAGTTTCATTTTTCTCTGTTGATTCCTATTTTCAATTTCATTAATTTCTGCTCTAATTTTTGTTCTTCTGTTTACTTTAGATTTAATTTGTTCTTCTTTTTCTAGTTCCCTAATATGGAAGCTCAGATAACTGATTTTAGATCTTTCTACTTTTCTAATGTGTACATTCAGTACTACAAATTTCCCTTTAAGCATTACTTTTGCTACATCCCACAAATTTTGAGAAGTTGTACTTTCATTTAGATAAAATATTTTTAAAAGTATCTTCCTATTTTTTTGTTGGCCCATGTGCCATTTAGAAGTAGGTATTTAATCTCCAAGTATGTGGAGATTGTTTTCCAGTTATCTTTCTGCTACTGACTTCTAGTTTATTTCCATTGTGGTCTGAAGGCAGACATTGTATGGTTTCTCTCCTTTGTTAAGGTGTGTTTTATTGCCCAGATTGCAATCTCTCTTGGTGAATGTTCCATGTGAGATGAGCTTGAGAAGAATGTATGTTCTGCTGTTATTACTAGTCCACCGATGTCCATTATATCCAGTTGGTTGATGGCATTGTTTAATTCAACTATGTCCTTATTGATTTTCTATCTATAGCATCTGTTCATTTCTGAGTGTTGAAGTCTCCAACCATAATAGGGGATTCATCTCTTTCTCCTTGCTGTTCTGTCAGTTTCTTTCTCATATATATTAGGTGCCTAAATGTAAAAGCTAAAACTATAAAACTCTTAACAGAAAACGTAGGGGGAAAGCTTCACGGCACCGGATTTGTCAGTGGTGTGTTGGGTATGATACCAAAAGTACAGGCAACAAAAGAAAACATAAATTGGACTACATCAAAATTAAAAGTTTCTGTGCATTAGAGAATACAGTAGCAAAAAGGCAACCCACTATGGAGAAAACATTTGCTCATCACATAACTGATAAGGGTTAATATCCAGAATATATAATGAACTCCTACAACTAAACAACAACCAAAAAACCCCCAAGCAGTCTGATTTCACAAATTGGCAAAGGACCAGAATAGACTTTTCTCCAAAGAAAATATATAAACGGTCATTAATCGCACGCAAAGATGTTCAGCATCACTCATCATTTTGGAAGTGGAACTCAGCGTCACGATGAGATACCATTTCACACCTGCTAGGATGCTACTATCAAAAAACAAACTCATTAATGTTGATGAGGCTATAGAGAAACGAGAACGTGTATACTGTTGGTGAGAATGTAAAATGGTGCCGCTGCTGTGAAAACAGTATGGTGATTCTCAAATAATTAAAAACAACTACCATATGATCCAGCCACTCCAGCTCTTGATATATACCTAAAACAACTGAAAGCAGTGACTCCACAGATACTTGTACACCCAGGTTCATAGCATTACTCAAAATTGCCAAAAGGTGGAAGTAACTCAAGTGTCTATCAACAGATACATGGGTAAATAAAGTGTGGCACATACATTGGGGTATTATTCCACCTAAAAAAGGGAAAATCTGACACATCATACAACGTGGATACCTGGAAGCCAATATGCTAAGTGAAATAAGCCAGTCATCAAAGGACAAACGCTTAATGATTTCACTTATATGGTGTAGAATCATCATATTCTTATATGAGATCCTAGAGTAGTCAAATTTATGAAGATGGAAAGTAGAATGGTGGCTGCCAGGGGTTAGATAATTATTCTCCCGAGGAAGAGGGAATTATTGTTTAATATGAAAAGTTTCAGTTTTCAGGATAAAAGTTCAGGAGAGAGATGGTAGTGGTGGCTGCACAATATAAATGTACTAATGCCACTCAACTGTATACTTTAAAATGGTTAAAATGGTAAATGTTATGTTTATGTGTATTATTTTACCGCAAATTTTTAAGATTTTTGTCAAAAAAGCACTGAAATCACCAGCCTTATATTCATTAGAGCAATGCTTAACACAGTCACGACTACACAGCATTGGCAGTGACCATTAGTCAGAAAGACAGACAGCTGTATCTTTGGTCTAGTGTAATGAACTATTCCAACACACATGCAGTTCAAGAAATAAAAGAGATCCTTTATACACTTTGTCCAGTCTCCCCCTAATGGTAACTATAATCTCACAACCAGGATATTAGTGCTGATACATTCCACAGATCTTATTCAAATTTACCATTTCATCTGTACTCACCTGTGTTTGCATGTGTGTAATAGGTGCTATGCTATTTCTTTTTTTTTTTTTTTGAGTTGGAGTCTCCATCACCCAGGCTGGAGTGCAGTGCCACACTCACGGCCACCCCAGCATCGACACTGGGCTCTAACCATCCTTCCACCTCAGCCTTCCAGGTAGCCGCAACTACAGGAACACGCTACCATGCCCAGCTAATTTTTGATTTATTGTAGAGACGAGGTCTTGCCAAGTTACCTGGGCTGGTCTCGAACCCACAGGCTCAGGCAATCCACTCGCCTCGGCCTTCCAAAGTGCTGGGATTACAGGCTAAGCCACTGAGGCTGGCCACTATTTTATTACTTGTTTACGTTTGTGTTTACAAACCCCGGAAAACAAGATGTTAAGCCATTCTGGATCTACAGGGATCCCTCATGTTGCCTTTTTTTAACTAGTTATACACCTCTCCTCGCCCCTCAACTCCTGGCAACTACTAATCTTTTCTCAACTTCGAAGTTTTGCCATTTCAAAAATGCTATATAACCCCAGGCATAGTGGCTCACACCTGTAATTGCAGCACTTTCAGAGACTGAGGTAGGAGGATTGACTGCTTAAGCCCAGGAGTTCAAGACTAGCATAAGCAACAGTAAAACCTCATCCCTATAAAAAAAAATTTAAAAAAAAATCAGCTGGGTGTGGTGACATGCACCTGTAGTCCCAGCTACTCGGGAGGCTGAAATAGGAGGATTATTTGAGTCCAGGAGGTTGAGGCTGCAGTGAGCCAGGATCACACCACTGCACTCCAGCCTGGATGACACAGCAAGACCCTGCCTCAAAAAAAAAAAAAAAGAAAGAAAGAAAGAAAGAAAATCATATAAATGCAATCATATAGTATATGCAACTATTGGGACTGGCTTTTTTGCTCAGCATATTTCCATGAAGAGTCATCCAAATTAGTACATGTTTCAGCAGTTTGTTCCTTTTTATTGCTGAGTATTATTCATGGTATAGTTGCACTGGAGTTTGTTTAACCATGTTGAAGGACACCTGGGCTGATTCATTTTTGGCTATTACAAATAAAGCTCCTAAGAGCATTAGTGTGCAGGATTTTCCGTCAACTATTCCTAAGACTTTTAAAGTTCATTTCAGTAATTCTGATTTTGAAAACTTTGCAAGTCATATTTGATAACTGTTCATTATAACAGTAAAAGAGAATATTCCTTTTTTTACCAGTACAGTACAGGTTTTGCAAGTATGGAGAATGGCACTGTAAAAGAAATATCAATATTGTTTAACATGTAAACAATATAACATTAGCAGGTTAAAATAAATATACTCACCAATAAAAGCACTATCAGATTCCAATAATGAGTTTTTCAAGAAATCATTAGTGTCATCTCTGGGCTAAAAGGAACATCACATATTAATGACTATTTTTATTTGTTCAATGTGGAAAAACAACACATTTGTACTAAAAAAAAATGCAAAAGTTTCCACACCGTTCCCCTCACAAGTGGGAGAGGAATAGACGTAGGACTGACTCCCATACCATATAAGCTCTTAAAAGCCCAGAAAATACTGGAAAGCCTTAGCACATACAACTCCTGGCCCAGACAGTGACCGCATTAAGACATGATCTCTCTGGACTAGAGATTCTGGCAAGCAAAGACATTTGACTCCCGAACACTCTTTCCTGTCCCCTGGTAGTTGAAATCCAATAAAAGGATCACATTACTACTGTTGCAAATAGAGTATAAAGCAATGAACCCAATTAAACATTAAAAGTCTAAGCCGCTGCCAAGATCCATTCATCCTTTCAATAAATAGTAAATAGTAAAAACACTATTTCTTCCATGTTACAAACTAGGGATACAAAGATGAATTAAGAGTTTTTGCTCTGGAGTAGATCATGGGCCCATGGGGGAGAGAGAGAGGCATACCCTTAGACAACAGCCCTACGTGACTGCAATTGTCATGATGACACAGCACAGATATCACAGTATACAGAGGAGGGGGGAAAATAATGCTAGGATTGGGCTTACCATGAGCTCTTGAATGAAAGATAACAAGTTTACCCATAGCATACTGAACACCACAGACTAGTATCAACTTATGCCAGAAGGAGCCTGAAGTCATCCAGCTGCACCTCTCCGTACCTTCTTGCCAGACATCTGGGCTTTGCTAGGACACTCCAGCAAAGAGCTGTCCCTTAATTTTTAAGGCAATGCATTGCAATGATACACTGAATTCGTTATTAGAAAGTTCTTTTACACTGCATTCTTCCATATACTGACTTAAATCTCCTTTTTCACTTACCATCCACTGATTCTTGACTTTTTTAGCATAATAGTAATGATAATCACAGCAGCTAAATCAAATGGTTGCAACTAGTTATTCTTAGTGCTTCATGCATGTTGTCCGACTTCTCTACATCACATTCCTTCTTTCACATAACTGAAAAGTGATCAAAGTTCACCTAAACCTTAGCTTCTCCACGACGGCACCCAATTTCATCCTGTGTTTTCCATATTATCCAATTTCTAAGATCGGAGTCAGGATTTATTAGTTTTTTGTGAATAGCCATGATAAAATGTTGGCTTATGCTGAGCTTCTACTCAGTAAAATCTGCTGTTATTATTCCAGGATTTTAACCAAAATCCTGGTTACATTTCAGTATCTGAGAAATGTGACTGTCACATAAGGAGAAACCTACCAAACTACAGAGTCTTCCCAAATAGGTGTACCAGGCTATGTGGTTCAGGGACAAGTAGGAGCTCTGGAGTCCAGCCTGGATTCAAATCTAGACTTCATTGCTTACTTGGCTGTATGACCATGGGCAAGATAATAAGCCTTTAAATATCATTTGCCTCATGTACAATAGGCATAAGCTTGCCTTGTGAACTTTAGAGCAAATAAATGTCAAGCACCTTGCACAGGTCGAGTGTGCAAATTATTATCATCATCATCATCGGTCAAAACCATGCATCAACCCAGCTACTAGTTGGTAGCCCTTACCCAAATAAGAGCCTAGCTGAGCCTCACTTTTATTATCTGAAAATGGGGAAAATACTATCTACAACACAAGATGCTAGGAAGATTAACTTGTATTTCTAATCTCCATCTTTTCCCCTGAACTCTCATATCTGTGTACTCACCAGTTCCAATAGTTTGCCTAACAGGCACCTCAAACTTATCATGTTAAAAACTAAGTTCCCAATCTTCTCCCCCAACTTCTAAATTTACTTCTCTTACTTTTCCACCTGTAAATAGCAACTCCTGGCCAAAAAGCATGAAGTCCGTCTTTGACTCCTCTCACTCTACTTCAGCATGCCAAAAATCCTATCAAGTCTCCTTTCAAAATAAGTCCAACCACTTCTGACCACTCCGGCCACTCTCACCCTGGTCTATGCCAGCTTGTCTCCTGCCTAGATTACTGCAGGATCCTCTTGTCCATGTCCCTCGTAGTTTATTCTTAACGTGCAGCATCAGTGGCTGAGTGAAAACCTCAAGCAGATCGTGTCACTCCTCCACTCAGAGACGCTGGAAGCTTCTCATCACACGCAGAGAGTCAAAGACAAAGCCCTGGAACAGGCTCTGGGACCCTGCAGCCTCACACTGTCATCCACTGCCCCCCTTGCCTCAACTAGCCCTTGCTCATGGCACTGCCCATCCGGCCTCCTCGCTGCTCCTTACGTGTGCCAGGCCAACTCCCGCTAGGGCCTCTGCTTGGAATGTCCCCTCGCTGTTCCCCATGGCCCCCTCCCTGGTGTCCTTACTCAAATGTTACCTAACCAGTGAGGCCCCATGCCCACTGTATTTCAAACTGCAAACCCTCCCTCCCCAGTACCCCCAGCCTCCTTCCCTGTTATTATTTTCCCCATAACATACTACCAACTTTATTTGTTTATTGTCTCTCCTTACAGAATGCAAGCCCTCAGAAGGCAGGGATTTTTGTCCCTTTGGTTTACTCACATACACCTGGCACCTGGAACAGTTTCTGGTCCATTAGAAGTATTCAAAAATATTTGTTGAATGAAAACGGCTCATCCTGTCCCTTTATTCTGTCATGCACAAATGTCACCTCCTCAGGACAGGAATGAGAGTTATAACTTTCTGTCCCCTTACCTTGCTTATTTTCTTTATGGGCCTCACCACTGCTTACATTATAGACTCTTGTTTCTACTGCTGCTAATATTAATGACAGCAAACACTCACACTGCACTCATTATGGGCCAGGCCCTACTCTAAGGGCTTTTAATGTATTATCTCACTTAATGATCACAACAGGAGCTATTTTTATTTAATAAACATTTACATAGAACTTATATGCTAGGGCTGTCTCTATGTGCCTTGCAAATATTAATTTAATCCTTACTGCCACCCTCAGAGGTTAAGTGCTATTACCTCATTTTACAGATTAGGAAGCTGAGACATAGAGAGATGAAATAACTTGCCTTAAGTCACACAGCTAAAAAGCGACTACAGCCTAGTGCTAGAATTGTGTTCTTAGCCATCACAATATGTTTCCATTTCTCTAGTTGCCCACCACACTGAAGAGACAAGATTTACATTTTTAAACTCAATATTCCTGAAAAACCCCAAATTTTGAATACTCACTTAGCATATTTCTAAAGATTTTTATCCCCCCAAAACTAACTTGAAAAATTATACCTGGTTGCTTACCATTCTTTGCTCTTGTACTTTAGCACTTGGGATGGCATCTAAATCAGCTGTGGTGGATGGAGAACAAAAGCAAGTTAAAAGGTTCGAAATGTTTAATATATAAAATTGTATTTTGGAATATCTCTTACAACTAGCTCTCTGCTAAAAAATACTTTTCAACTACCACATTCAGAATATTTTTAAGCTATGACTTGCTTATTAATAAATATAACCCTGCATCCATTCTAGTTGTATAAAAGTCTCCGATTCACATTAATGAATATAGAAGTAAAATCATTGCAAACTTAAAACTAATGCCTATAGAAAAAGAAAATGATGAATGCAGTATTCATCTTCTGTCATGTTTCTACAATCTGTAGAAGTTGCTACATGGAATTAAACAGAGGGCTCCCTCACAAGGAACTGAAACAAGCTCAACTGCAGGCACCCACTTCCATAGGCAAAGATTTTGGATCAGGTATCCCCAAACCTCTCCAATTTGACCAGCTTTCCTATGTGTTCCTTTGAATACTGCTTTTGCCCTTTCATATATTGGCTTTGGGAATAAATAGGCTGCCAAGGATAGCTTGTATTCCATCTCAAGACATTGTATAGCCATGTCTGTGACTGTTTATTATAGTCAGACCAAATTCTTATGAATTATGTCATCATAGTGTCTGCTGGAAGTTGGGGGATAGCTTCTGTGGAGGATAGATACCCTCAGTGCCAAAATGCACTTGTACCTACCTAGGGACTACTTTGGGGCTAATCAGCCTAAGTTACCAAGATCCCAGAAGAACTGATCATCATTTGAGACTTTGAAGAAAAATGCCATGAATGGGTGCAAAGGTTGAAGGAGTACTTGTCCTCTTCTCTCTAGATGCTGTGACTACTACTTATTATAGAATTTGGCCTATTCTGCTTTCACAGGGTGATCTGTGAGGCTGTTTTATGAAACATTTTATACCAGACGGAGGGAAGACATTTCCTATACAAATGTTTATCCAAGTCGTGACCCTTGATTTGGCCTAAAGTATGGCATCCTGTGACGCTGTCTCATGAAGTCAAAAAGCTTCTGCAGACTCTGCAAGCCAGACCAGCCTGCCAAGGTGGGGTCTTAAATTTTCCTTAAAATGACAAGTAGGAGAAACCCCCCTATATACTTATTACCTGATTGTTGTATTTTTAAGACTCATTTTCCATGGTCGCCCTTCAAAGGCCTGAAGGCTGGCAAAGCTGATGAAATACAGGTGTGAAAGCCAGGCAGTACACCTGGGTATCAACAGGGCCCGGCAATGCTCTTTGAGACAACTTGCCCCACTCTGCCTCTAGGTGCCTGCCCACCTCAACTCCAGTTACACACTCCCATGGGATCCTTGATTTCTCCTTTGCAATAATCATCACAGTTAAACTTATTTACCATCTATCTTCTCCAACAGAGCGTAAGCTCCAGTTCCCTTAAAAAGATCTAGTTGAGTTCACCAAGGAGCCTATTTCATTCATCACCATATCCCATGGATATGGGTCAGTACGTGTGTTCCTAGTAGCCACTCAGTAAGTGTCTGTCAATTGGCTGATTATATATACAAAAACATACCCATAGCCCAATTTGATGCTTTAGAGAGCTTATGTCTTATCAAAATTTAAAGATACTCCCACAATACAGTAGAAAAATGCCAGACAGGGCACTGTGTTTGCCCAGCATGCCTTCCTTTGATCCCTAGTTCCTAGTTCAGATGTCACCTGGCCTAGTCCAAGAATTCAATCCCCCTGGCTACAGTGAATGGCTAGGCCTGTCTCACCCGTGAATATGCCACTCTAGTCCAGTCAATCAGAGCCCTCTCTCCAACTTGTTCTTTTCTGGGATTAATGGCCAAAAAGGGACATGTGAGCAAGGAGCTGCCAGGGGAGGGGACCTGGGATGGAAATCAATAGAAAGGTAGAAAGAAAGCCCACAGAAGAACACCCCACTGATACTTTTTGAAATAGTAATGATTATTCCTTACCCTCAGCACCTTCCTGCATTTTTATTCTATTCAGCCTCTTCTGCTGCTCTCTTAGCAGGGCTTGCTGTTGAATTTCTAAGGTGTGATGATCTCTTGGAGGATCCGGGTACATAAATTTCAGATCAACTCGTGTTTCTGAATCTGGTACAAAAAAACACATAACTAAGTTGAATGTTGTTTTCATATGAGATTGTATAAAACTTCACCATAAGTAACATACAGTAACCTAATTTCAAAATCAAGTAACAATACAAATAGTAAAACATCACCAAAGTCAAAGGACATTAAAATAAAACTACAGGATGGGTGTAGTGGCTCAAGCCTGTAATCCCAGTACTTTGGGAGGTCGAGGCGAGAGGATTGCCTAAGCCCACGTGTTCAAGAACAGCCTGGGCAACTTGGCAAGACCTCATCTCTACAATAAATAACAACAACAACAAAAAAATTAGCTAGGTGTGGTGGTGCATGCCTGTAGTTCTGGCTGCTTGGAAGGCTGAGGCAGAAGGATCGCCTAAGCCCAGCAGGTCGATGCTGGGGTGGCCGTGAGCATGCCACTGCACTCCAGCCTGGGCAACGAAGTGAGATGCCAGCTCAAAAAAAAAAACAAGCAAACAAACTACAGAAGAGGAAATTAATATTCTTTAATAAATGCCTTTTCACCAGCATATCAATGTAAAGAAGACCCCAGAACAAGCAGTAGCTGTGGACAATGCATTCTTCATCCCTACTGTCCCCAGACCCTCAAGATGCTACTCAGAACCCACAGCAGGGCAACTACATACAGGTATATGCAAATGGCTAGTCACATGGCTATGACTTAGGCAGCCGTGAAAAATTAATCACAGCTGATCCCTAAAATATACCTGAAAAATGAAAAAATAATGTTACTGGCCAATTAATATTCTAGTCCTTGCAAATATCATGTAGAAAATAAGATAAATGCAAACTTGCTGGAACTTTAGGAGGAATGTCATTACTGGAGGAAATGATGATCTAAGAATTCACCTCTGTCATAATTTCCTGAATATCAATTGACCAGAATAAAAAATATTAAATATTAATTTTTAAATCTTGAAATTCAAAATATAGTTCATATATATATAAAGCCTTGAAAACATTATCCACTTTGACCCACTAATTACACTGCTGGAATATAAAAAAAAATTATAAATACATATAAAGCTCTATGATCCTAAAAAGATTCCTATAAAGCTTTATGATCAGAAATTATCAAAAGAGCAAAATGTTGAAAATGGTTAAGCGTGAAGTTGATAGAAGAGGCTATGGACACCGAAACTTGGATTAGACCCTGGCTTCACTGCTTCTAGACTCATTAAAAACAATACTAAGCCGGGCTCGGTGGCTCAGCCTATAATCCCTCACCTTTGGGAGGCTGAGGTGAGTGGATTGTCTGAGCCCGCGGGTTCGAGACCTGCCTGGGCAGGCGAGACCTCATCTCTACCATAAATCAAAAAATGAGCCAGGCGTGGTAGCGCGTGCCTGTAGTTCCAGCTACTTAGAAGGCTGAGGCGAAAGGATCGCCGAAGCCCAGCAGGTCGAGGCTGCGGTGGCCGGGAACGGCCACTGCACTCCAGTCTGGGTGACATAGTGAGACTCCAACTCAAAAAAACAAAACCAAAAAAACCAAAAAACAAAGCAAAACAAAAAATAATACCAACAACCAAGTCATAGTTTGAAAGAGAACTAGATGTAATAACACAGGGAAACTAATGGTTCAGTTCTATGGTTTAAATCTTTCTGCTCCCAAGACCACTTTACACTCTTAAAAATTAAGGACCCCAAGAGTTTTATTATGTATCACATACACACACATATTTGCCATATTAGAAATTAAAACTAAGAAATTTTTAAAACACAAGTACACATCCTTTTAGCTTCAGAGAGATGAAGTCATCACATGTGATGTAGCCTCTGGAAAACCTGTATTCACATGCAATAATGAGAATGAAAGAGAAAAGAATGGACTAGTTTATAATAAAAACAGTTTTGACTTTACAGGTCCCTAGACCAAACTATGCAATCCACTGGCTTAATACAATGGCTGGCAGATAGTAAGTAACCAATCACTGATAGCATAAAAAATAAGTGTGGTATATGTAATTGATGGCACATGTAAATCTAAGTAAAAAAACAAGAGATAAAATTAAATAAATATCTTTTCTTGTTTTATTTATGCTTAGAAAGATTAGAAAACATCCACAATGATAATGATGCTCATATACAGGTGGTTCAATTAAAGTGAGTTTTCCCTTTCTATGGTTCTATATGTTGAAAATGTGCTATAATAAACAGGTGTTCGGGTACAGGAGGCAGATTGTGGGATGCATGATCATAATACGACCTACGCCAGATAAACTGGAATTGAAGCTTTTCTTCTTTTTGCAAGTAATATATATTTCTTGCAGCAAATCCCCTGTATTTCTTCTTGCCTACCCAGGGGTCTTGCTCCCTTCAACAATCACTCCTTCCTTCTCCTATAGCCTGAATCTCTTCCTCCTGCAATAGCTCCTCACACTGGCATGCTAACAAGCCCTTCCCCAGCCAAGCTCATTCCAAGGGCAATCTTACAGGTCCTACTGTCACCAACCTCTTGTCTCCTACTCAATCCTCAATCCAAAGTTAAGTGGCTTCTGATCACATCAATCCCCTTAAAAAGATCTAGTTGGGGTCCCCAACGACCTCTAATCCAACAGATACTTTCCAGCATTCATCTTACACAATCCCTTCTCCTTTATATGCTCAGTCTCTGCCTTAAGCTTTCAGGATCCCACATTCCCTCACTTTCCTCCAGTCACTCTGGCTTCTCTTCAGTCTTCCTCATCTTCTTCTGCCCATCCTCCATGAAACGCCAACTTTCATTCTTCACTCTAATCCAGCTGATGTCATCCACTACAAGGTTTTAACAGCTATATGCTCTTAAAAATATATATTTAGACAAACTAAAGCTTCATCTACCAGATTGGTAAACTGAGGAACTAGAGAATACAGAAGTTTTCTTCATTGTAACTTAAAATGTATGTCATAAATAAAATTTTACTTTAGAAAAAGGGTACCAAGTTCTTTAAAGATACATAAACATGGGTAGAACACCCTTGCTGTACCTTTAAAATTTACTCACCTCTATCTTTCAGTTCATTAAAATCATGAATATTCTGAAAAGTGGTAGCATCTAGGACCTTAGGTGATTGTCTTCTGACAGGAGCTTGCAACCGATGTCTAGCCATGTCAAAAATATCCATGGGATTCCGTTCTCTTTTACTACACATAAATGACAAATCATAATAAATATCTGTTATGGAAAGAAAATCTGAGTTCACATTTATAAAATTTGGTCTCTTTCATTAGAGTATAAAAAAATTATTTGAGTAGCTCTGATATTTCAATCCCTTATCCCAAAATACAGGGCACTTATAAGGTCATAGTAATGTTTCAAAATGCTCAAATGCAAAGCACCTATTACAAGAGTAGAATAATTCAGCTTTACTTTAAAATGATCATGGGGCACAAAGATCACAGTCTTTGAGGTCAGAGAAATGGAGGTTCAAAACTAGCTCTGTTATTTATTAGCAGTTTGACCCTGATTTCAACACCTGTACAGTGCAGATGTCCATCCCTGATAGTCTTCTTGTGAATTAAGAAAAATTCTATACTGTAAAGTACCCAGTATAATACCTGACATGCATTAGGTAATCAATATATATTACCTTCCCCTCAGCCTAAAATAGAAGTTATACAGAGAAATATGTATTAACATGCTGTTCAGTATCACGAGCCTTGTCCAGTAGACCCAATACTAATTTTACAATGGACTTTCAAGAACTTGATAGCTAATTAGTTAAGTAATACTCTATTCCTATGGCACCTAGGAAACTATTAGGTAAATAGCTTAGCTTATAAGGGAGTGTTCTGCTAGAGCTTTGGAGAAGTGACAATAAGAGAAAACAGGGATAAGGCATGGTATTTCTAGTCCTAAAAATAAAATAAACCAAATAACTACTACTGCTTCCTTCAGCACAAAGTAGGTCTCCTCTATTTCTAAAAATACAGCACTAAGTTATAGTCATATAAGGCTTGGTCAGACTCCTTCCTTCATTTTTTATCATTGAATCTCCCCTAAGCACCTAGACAGGAATAGCTAAGATCCTTACGGGCAATGCCCCTGTTCTCATGGAGTTTCCTTTTTGGGAGGAAGGATTCACTGGGGCCATCAAAGGACCCTTTCAAGGGTGACACAGACCTCTAATAATCACCTATAAGAACTCTATGAAAAAATTATTTCAAAAAGACCAATAAATTGAACTCCTATCTAGTTTCCACTAATGCTAAGTTAAATAGACTGATAAATGGGGAAATCAGTTATTAGATCTCTGTATACATCACATTTGCTTTGTGCCTAGCACATAAGAGGAGTTTGCTAATGTGGTAAATTAATGAATAAGAGATTTTTTTGGTAAAAATATTTATGAAATTGGAATAAAGAACATCCAGGCATGGTGGTTCATAATTCAAACCTGTAATAATCCAAATCTGTAATCCAAGCACTTTTGGAGGCCAAGGTGGGAGGACAGCTTGAGCCCAGGTGTTAAGACCAGCCTGGGCAACATAGTGAGACCTCATTTTTACAAAAAATTAGCCAGACATGGGGGCACGTGCCCATAGTCCTGGCTACTTGGGAGGATAAGGCAGGAGGATCACCTGAACCCAGAAGATGAAGGCTTTGGTGAGCCATGATCATGCCACTGTACTCCAGTCTGTGCACCAGAGTGAGACCCTAACTCAAAAAAAAAAAAAGACAAGAACAAACTCTGAGATGTCCCTATAATCATGATATATATTAACAATTATGTCAATATCTGTCTGGGGATGGGGGGTACACCTCATCAACAAGGGTACTTGCACAATGCATATTTGTATACCTAACCCTTAACTGTACCCTACAATTTTAAAATAAAAAATAAGTATTTAAAATAAAAAAGTTTAAAAAATAAATAAACAAACAATTATGTCAAAGTAAATGTATTTAGCCACTTTGCTAAATGATGGCAATTCTAACATATGCTATCTAACAAGTTAGAACTCAGAGTAACAAAGAACTTTCAAATACATACATTTATTTATTCTTCCTGGACTCTCTTGTGGTATAAATTACCATGTATAATTTTCAGGTAAGAAAACTGAGAGGCTGCCTGCTTTCTTTTTTAATCATCGGTTTACCAAAAGAGAGCATAGTCTTCAACTTATTAATTAAAATAATAAAAATTAATAAAATATCAACAATCCACTAAACTGAATTAAATATGCATGTTAGGAAGATGGGAAGCTGCAACAGCTAAGGCATTTATTATATCACAGAAGTAAATATAGAAAAAAATACACTAGTTTTCAAATATCCAGAAGTAATCGACCTACTAGGGGAGAATTATTCACTGAAAATTACCACCTTGGATTAACATTTCATTATCTAGTCGTCTAAATCTCCTCACCTTGTTTACCTGTCAGAGTATGCCTGGAGAATGCAAACAATCTAAGCAAAGCATAATGAGGCAGGTTAACGTGATACAATGAAATCCTACCACAAACTAGGTTAGAGTCAGAAACATCACTATTAACTTTATACACAAATAGTTGGAGAGAACAATTATGGATATGTTTATATTTATAACTTTGTATATACACATATATTATCCAGCTCTGTTCACCACATGGGCCTAGAAGTAATGACACACAGCAACAAGCACACCCAGTTCCCAGAGCTTGGTTTCTAAATATCATTCTAGAAGAAGCTTGTAGAAATGACTGATTTTAGGGCTGGGTAGAAGAAATACAAGATAATCCTGGGGCTTCTTATATCTACAGTACCAGAAAGTAAGAAAGTGTTCAAAAAGCAAAAGGCATGTCAAAGTAACACAGGAGCCAACTTGAAGGTGTCCCAATGGCCAAAGCTGGAAAAGTTTGAGGAACAAAATAAATAATGTAGCATAGGATTATAAGCAAAAAGTATAAAATAAATATACATGAGACAATAGTGATATAAATAAGTGACTGAGTAAATAGAAGAAAAGAGACAAACTTTTCTTATGAAAGAATTCTAAAAAATATATGAAGGGAATTTCTACTCCAGGAGATGAAGCTTAATCCCACCCCCTCCTCACTCCTGCCAGGTAGTCCTAAAGTAGTGATTTGTAACCGAAGAACAGTTAACTTTCCCATGGAGATACCCATGGCAGACTACTTTAACTACAAAGTCAAGGTTCACATCACCAGGTATATTACATGGATGTCATATACCCTTGATATGATGTGATGTAATGTGAGAATCCCAAAACCCTTAACCCTAGTCTAATCTTCAGAAAACATAAGACAATTCAGACTAGGGGCAGGGGGAGTCTACAGGACATCTGGTCAATATTTCTCTGGATTTTCAGTTATGAAAAGCAAGGAAAGACTGAAAAACTGCCCCACACCCAGGGAGACATGACAACTAAATGCAAATTGGTAGCTTGTAATCAATCCTGGAACAGAAAGAGAACATTAGTGACAAAAGAGAAACCCAAAAAGTTTGGAATTTAGTTAATACTGATGTTGCAATGTCAGCCTCATAGTTGTGACAAAAGTACCCTGGTAATAAAAGATGCTAACAATAGGAAAACTAGGTGAAAAATGTACAGAAACTCTGTATTATGTTTACAATTTTTTTATAATAAAAATTATCCCAAAATAGAAAGTTTATTTTTAAAAAAAAGAAAGGATGGTAGTTACCCACTATGTTGATTTGACAATCTACTAAAGCATTGCAAAATGAAGCTTGGAGAACACTGCTTTAGAAAATTGAGTCCTGCTGGTAAAAATGTTCAAAATGTTAGCAAAATCACTTGATTTCACTGAAAAAAAGTATTTCAGAAAGCATTACATTATTGATGGAAAACGTAAAAAAAAGTTCTAAAATGCAGTTGTCTGTAATTATTCCAACCTGGAATGTTCTATTCCTGCAACATTATTCCCCTTGATTAAATTTCTACAACTGATTTCACAGAAGACTAAGAAAAGTAAAGAGACTATAAGTACGACGAATTAATCCTGTTCTAAAACCACAGAATTACTAGATAGATGACACAAGATAAAATGACTCAAGAAAAACAAAAAATGCAATTCTAAACTTGCCTTAGATGAATTTCACCATCACTGTCCATGTGCAGCAACCGCCCTTGTAGACGCCTCTCTTCACTACGAAGTTGTTTTCTCATTTCTGATAATTCCATTATCACATTTTTTTTCTCCTCTGCAAATTCCCAATGATAAGTAATAAACAAGACAGGTATAAGAGCAAAAGATCAAACACTAAAACATAACCTAAAGTGCTCAGAAAGTCATTTTTATGAGACGACGTTTTATATATACACATATATATACAGATTATGAACATCATTAAGACCCACAAAGACATTTTTTATGATATAGGAATTTCAAAAGCTGAGAGACTTTCTTGGGGGCGAGCAACTATTACGGGATGGCGCAAAGGAGTTCCTTTGTGGTGATGGAAGAGTTTTGCATCTTGACTGCAATGGCGGTTACACAAATTGTACATGATAAAAATGCACAGAAACACACACATAAGAGTAGGTAAAAATTGGTAAAGTCTGATGTTCTGTAAAGCATGCCAATATCAACTTCCTGACTGTAATATTGTACTACCTAAGATACTACCACTGGAGGAAGCCAGAGGAAGGGTACACAGCACCTCTCGATATGATTTTTGCAACTTTCTGTGAGACTATAATTACTTCAAAGTAAAAAGTTAAAAAAAGAAATGCTCTCAATTATAGGCTTAAGTAGTTAACTCTACCTTCTGCACGGAGTTGATTTTTCCTGGCAGGTACCGGGGGCGACTGTGCCCTGGACATGGAACTTTCCTGTTTAACAGTAATGATAAAGATATGTTCAGTATGTCTTCCCTACTCAAAAACTTGAAGACAGTAATTTTTTGAAGTACCTAATGTAAAGGAAACCAACTCCACACTGTACTACCTAAAAAACGTACTCACATATATATCTACTTTTTCTTATCACAATGGAAGAAGGGTCCTTGTCTCTAGCCAAAGAGAAGCCCTTTGTCTGTACTCTGTATTTGATAAGTGACTCCCATCTCCTCAGATTATTCTCTTTTCTCTATCTTGTTCTCAGCCTATGCATGAAAACCTCTCCCTTTGTTTAAAAAAAAAAAAAAACTCTTACCCTTAATCACTCACTACCTTCTGTCCGATCTCTCCTTTCCTTCACCACCGAGCTTCTTTAAACAACAGTAAATGCAGAACTTCTGGGGTCTACTTCCTATTCCCATTCACTCCCCAACACACAGATAACGTTTCTACACTCCATCACTCCGGCAACACTGCCCTCACCAGAGTCATAAAGTGACCTACAAGTGACACATTCAATGCGCATTTTAAGCTTATTTTACTTAACTAGTTTCATCTTATATTGTTGCTGTTCTCTCTCATCCTCTGTCTCCATTCCTTTCCCTGTTTCTCAAATGTTGGTAATTCTTCAGTGTTTCATCCTCAGCCCTGTCTACTTCTCCCTCTAGACACTCATCCTAGACAATCTAACAAATTTAACAAGCACTAATGTTTCTATGGCATCTAAAACTACAAATCCAGTCCAGAACTCTTTCTTCAGCCATAATTCTTTTTCAACCTCCTACTCAAGAAAACCCTCACCAGGAACTTCAAAGTTACTGTAGACTCCTATCTACCACAAAGTCAATAAATACCACCATTATGTCTCATAAATGTATCATGAAGCGCGCACACCTTCTCAGTTCCTGGTGTCACTGCTTTTGTTTAGGTCCTCAAAGTCTCACATCTTGCAGACACGTTGAAAGCATCTTATCTCCGTATTTATAGTCTTGCCCCACCTCCCACATCATTATCTGAGAAAACACTATGCAGAACAAAGGCAGCTGTGTCATTCCCCTACTTAAAACATTACGAAGAATTCCCATGCATTCTCGACCCCAGACCTACTGAATCAGAGTCTCAGAGGGCGGGATTCAGGAAGATGTTCTTCTAACATTTCTTTGTCCATTCTGCTAGTTAGCGTGTTTGAAATATCAGCCTGTGGAATAAGGCTGAAGCCCTCAGTCCTCCAGACAACACCCACATGTGTGTACTTGCACCTCCGCTGCTGCTTTAGTGCACGGGCATCATTAGGCCAGAACAAACCATGGCAGATTCTCAATGTGTGCCATGCACTTACACTGCTTTCTGTGATGCTGCACATGCAGAAAGTCCCTCACTCAGCTTCTCTTGGTGGTAAATTCCTACTTCTTCTTCAAGCATCGACTCAAGGATCAATCCTTCTGGAACATTTTCCCTGTTACTTATAGCTCAGTCTAAAGTGTAAGAGACTTCACGAGCATAACTACAGCTAGCTAGAAGATATATTTTCAAAGAAAAAACTTTCTTGAAGGGCCTGGACAAGAATCATTTGCTACATTTTGTTTGTCAAAAGAATTCAACTTTAGGGTACAAAGTACTATCAGTTACAACTGAAGCAACAGGCAAATCAATGTAGACATTACCTGTATTTCAGATTTCAATAAATTTAACCTATCCAAATCTGATGATTAAAAAAAATCTCACTCAGTTCCCCAATCTAAAATAACTGAGCTAAGATTAACAAATCAAAACAAAAAGTACATACATGAAAAATGGAACTTATGATGCTGTCAACTGAAGGAGGTCTTTGGAGTTTGCTTGCAATTTTGTTCTGAAGAGCAGGAACTACAGGAGAAGGTTGTCTCAAATGCTGAAAAATTAAAAAAAAAAAAAAATATATATATATATATACACACCTACTTACACACACACACACCCCAATACTTAATAAATCTATCTAAGAAGTTCAGAATGTTATCGCTTTTATTTAATAAAATATTTTTTATAAGAAAGTCAGAAATTCAATTACATGAAATCAAATATATCAGTTATTCTAGACATAAATAGATTTAGATAGCCCTATTAAAAGAATATGAGTCTCATTAGGATTTTTTTTTTTAATTAACAAACTCAAATAAAGCAACAACATGCCAAATAATAGGAAAGCAATAAAAAAGAAAAGACATAGCCAAAGTAAAAAATCATCTTAATAATAACATGGAAATAGAATAATACAAAATTTTTAAAAATCTCTTTTCTAGAAAACAATATAAATCAACCTTTAAAATTTTGATTTCCCTGTCACTAATAATATCACAGATGAGGGATTTTTCCAGATTATGGTGAGGTTAGTTTATAGTGTATTAAACCTAACAGTACCCAACTTCGCATTAATATCAAACACTGAAGATATAAAAACTCCCAACAAAATATAATAATAATTATCTGGGTTAAAAAAAAAAATCAACCCAGACCAAAATATATGCATGGATATTAAATTCTTCATTTTGCATAGTAAAAAATATCACTGATAACATTAATAAAAACTAAAAATATATATGAGAGAGAAGTTCTTTTAAAACCTCTAGGTGACTACAATCAAAATTATAAAAATGATTATAAACCTTCTAAAGCACTGCAAAGGATGAAGCAAATAAACCACAGCCTAACAAGAAAACAAAAATAACTATCAAAGGAGCAAAAACAAACAAAAAAAAATGGAAATTCATTAATACAAATATATTGGTTATGATAAACATAAGTGGATTTAGATACCCTTACTTAAAAGAATATTAACTCTAGGCTAGGCGCGGTGGCTCATGTCTGAAATCTCAGCATTTTGGGAGGCAGAGGCGAGAGGATTGTCTGAGCCCACAGATTCAAGACCAGACTGGGCAACATGGTAAGACCTCGTCTCTACAATAAATCAAAAAATTAGCTGGGCATGGTGGTGCACACCTGTTGTTCCAGCTACTTGGAAGGGTGAGGCAGAAGGATTGCCTGAGCCCAGCAGGCTGAGGCTGCAGTGGCCATGAACATGCCACTGCACTCTAGCCTGGGGGACAGAGTGAGACTTCCACTCAGAAACAACAACAAAACAAAAAAGAGTCTAACTCTTAGATTAGGATTAAAAAACTCAACAAACTATATAAATATACAAGCTAAAGAGAAAATAAAATACGGTAGCACAAAGGTAAAAACTAAAAGATAGACAAGACTATATATATATATATATATATTCAAGCATACATCATGAAAAGAAAAAGGACAGTAATGTTAATTTCAGAATTGAAGGAAAAATGCATAAAATAAAATAAAGCTGATTTAAAACTTTATGGTATCTCCTATTTAAACTGTACTTTTACAGTCCTAAAATTATAAAGAAAAAGTTTAAATCTCCTATTTGAACTTTTACAGTCCTAAAATTATATATTCCTAAGAAATTGCATTTTTAAACATAAGAAATTCACAGAAACACAATGATGGGAAACTAACAATTCTCATTCTTAAGTGATTAATTTTATAATAGTAATTATCTGTGCTTTCTACTTAGTTTTATTGTGGACCTAAAACCCCTTTAAAAAATAAACTTGGGCAACCTCTTTGGGACCCTTCCCATTGTGGGAGCTTTTCTGTCCTCTCAATAAGTCTTGCTTTAAAAAAATAATAAATAAAATAAAATAAACTTTACTAGTTTAAAAATTAATGCTAAATTACATTTGAACAATAAACTTTAAAAGGCTGAACAAGTATATCAAACTTTTATCCTAAGAATGAAGACTACTGCATAACATTCCTTGAACAGCCAAAATAAAGAACACAAACCAAAAATACAGATCTTAGTGATAAATTCTCTTTTAAACAATCTCTCAGAAAATTCTAATTCTAAATACTTATCATCTCTATCACCATAAAACCTGGGATTAGAAATCAAAGAGCATATTAGAGCCAATCAGAAATGTCTCATGTTACATGAAGCAGTTTACACACTGAACAGGATACCAGACCACATCATAAACACACCAGAAGGGTTCACTGGTTAAAAGGAAACTTTTTATGTATCCTGCTTAGAAGTAATATTTATACAAGTATAAATTTCTGAAAACAATTATTTTACATCAAATTCGGCTAAACATAGAAGATAAACAGGGTTTTTCTTTTCTTTTTTATTATATATTTTATTTTAAAGATGTGGGGTTCAATTCAGGATTAGGTATCCAAGTAGACACCACACAGGTAAAGTTTGGGCTTCCCTTTGGTCCCCATTTTGCCTGGTTTGAGATCAGGTATCTTTATCGATGTTATGTGCCCCCTCCAACCCCACCCTGGCAGTATCCTGCTACTGCTAATCCCTTTATTATTATAGTAAATGTTCAGGGTCAGCTTATGAGTGAGAACATGTGGTACTCAGTTCTTTGTTTCTGTGACAGTCACTGAGTATTATAGACTCTAAGTCCATCCAAGGTGCTGCACAGTTCATATGTTTGTCCTTTATGGCTATATAATATTCTACCATGTATATGTGTCACGTTTTTTTATCCAGTCCAGTTTCAATAGGCAGCACAGTTGGTTCCATGCTTTTGCTATTATGACTAGTGCTGGAATAAACATGAGTGTGCAGGTATCTTTTTTGTAAAATGATTTGACTTCCTCCCAGTATATTCCCAGTAGCAGGATTGCTGGGTAATATGGAAGGTCAATTTCTAGTTCTTTTAGAAATCGCCACACTGTTTTCCATCAAGGCTGAACTAGTTTGCATTCCGACCAGCAGTGTAGAAGTGTTCCCTTTTCTCTGCATCCTTGCCAGCATCTGTTGTTGTTTGTTTTATTAACTACAGCCATTCTTACTGGGATTAGGTGGTACTTCAATGTGGTTTTGATTTGCATCTCCCTGATGATCAGTGAGGTTGAACACTTTTTCATATGTCTGTTGGCTGTCCGTTTGTCTTCTTTTGAGAAGTATCTATTCATGTATTTTGCCCACTTGTTAACAGGGCTAAACAGTGTTTTCAAAGTGTGGTCTCAAGGCCAACTGTATCTGAACCCCTAATGATGCTTGTAAAATATAGAATCCTGGATCTCCCTTAGACTTGGCAAATTAAATACCTTACAGGTGAGAACCCAGAAACTTGCATTTCTAACAAGCCCTCAATGATACTTCAGCATACACAATTTCAAATGTAACTGTGAGATATAAGCAGGGGTGTAAACTGGGTCCTCTTATAGCCAATTAGCCTTCTAAAGGGAAAATCTCTGCCTTATAAACTTGATTCATGTACTAACCCTAAATATCAATCCTCAATCTCAGAGATCCAAACCTCAAAACCTTTCTGTGGAGAACCACCAGTTTCTTTTTAAATTTTCAATCTAGCATGGATAATTAATAAAATAGAGTAAGAATGACTTACTAGATAAGTGAAAAAAGTTTTAAAGGCATATAAAATACAGGCCCAACATATATTTAATATAATCAACTGTGGTCGTGGGGGGATAACAATATTAATCAGCTTAATAATAATCCACAGCCCTTGAACAAAGAACCCCAATATTTTTATTAGTAGACTGAACAAACATGAAATTACTTTGACAAGTTGCTATAACAGTTTCTAAACACTCTTAATTTCTATATCTAACCTTGTCATGAACAATTAACAGACAGTTCACAGGGTGCTGGTCCATAGATCATACTCTTGGGTGGCACTGCCCTAGACCATGGGAACAGATTAAAAATGGCTAAGATAAATGAATTGATTGAGGAAGGGGCCCTTCTAAAACAAAGAGATAAGGGCCTTCCCAGAATAGAAAAAAAATATGTGAAAAAGAAAGTGACATGGCATAGTCAATGTCCAAGTGCGCATGAGTAACCCCGTTACAACCCTGTGCCATAAAATACCCAATTAAAAATGCAGGTTGCCATATAAGGGAGACAGAGGGGCTAAAATATAATATAAGGCAATGCCCCGCTGCATTCAGGGTTCAGTCTTTAGATGTGAATCCGTTGGGCCACTGCCAGCACAAATAAATGCTGCTTCCTGGCAAAGAAGCCTCGGTGTCTCGTCTCTCTCTATAAAGAACTCTGCCACATCTCTGATATGTTGGCTGGGAAATTGGGAGGCAGAGATGGTGTTTTCACCTCCCTTGTCACCAGGGTGCAACCCTCCCAGGACACCAGAAGAGGCGACCTTTTGATCTATAGGGGACCAATTGATCTGTAGGGGACTAGCCTTCCCGGTGGGCTGGGGCAAGGACCCAGGAGCATAAAAGAACCTGGTGAGGCCCAGGAATCAGCCAAGGGGATACTGCCCATCAGACTGGTAAGAACCTGGGTTCGATTTGGTAAAGCCTGCCCCTAAGAGGCAGAAGGGGAGCCTGATCACCTCCCAAAGTTGCCCGAGTAGTCCCACAGGGGAATGAAACTATGCCTCTAAGGCACTGGGTAGTAGGTTGGAGACATTGTGTGAATGAGATGCTACCTAGTGACAAAGCAAAAATAGAGTCAAGAGAAATCCTGAAATCTGCAAAAAGCCTCCAGTAAGGAGTGTTAAGCCTTTCAGGGAGGGCCCAGAGTCTTAAGGTCTGCAAGAAATCTCCATTACAGGAGATTGAGCACCCTTTTGGAAAACTCCAGAATTGCACAAACGAACCCAGTAACCAAGATTGGGTAATAAACAGTCTAGGCCTAGGAAGGGAGGTCAGAAAGACTCCCTTAAAATTCTCCCAAGATAATCCTCTGGGACAAATGTTGGAAGGTTAGGAAAATGATTCCAGAACTAAGAAGAAGGGAAAAAAGAGAATGATGGAATTTTGTTGTTTTATCTGGAAAAAAAAAAAAAACACCCTAAGTCAGCTCTTGATCTTTTGGCCAGAGTT